TGTTGTCTTAGTCATCTAGTGCTGCTATAACAGAAATACCACAAGTGGATGGTTTTAACAAAGCGAAATTTATTTCCTTACAGTAAAGTAGGCTAAAAGTCCAAATTCAGGGTGTCAGCTCCAGGGGAAGGCTTTCTCTCTCTCGGCCCTCTCATCAGTGTTCCCCCGGACTAGGAGCTTCTTGGCGCAGGGACCCCGGTCTAAAGGATGCACTCTGCTCCTGGCACTGCTTTCTTGATGATATGGGGCCCCCAACTGTCTGGTTGCTTCCCTTTCCTTTTATCTCTTGAGAGAGAAAAGGTGGTGCAGGCCACACCCCAGGGAAGCTCCCTTTACATTAGCTCAGGGATATGACCTGGGGGTAGAGGTGGTGTTACAATCCCACCCTAATCCTCTTTAACATAAAATTACAATCTCAAAATGGAGGCCAACCACACGATTCTGGGAATTGTGGCCCAGCCAAATTGATACACACATTTTTTGGGGGACATAATTCAGACCATGACAGATGTTTTTACTGAGCTTTCGGAGAGGCTCATTTGTTATTAACAACTTCATCCTTGCCAGGGTGAGAATTTGCTATATGAAATGACTTTTGTTTCACTCTTAAAATTACTTGCCACAAAAAGATAGATTAGATAGAGGGAGAGGTATCTAGATGTGTCTATCTATATGTATATGTTCGTGTGTATATATATATACACACACAAACTCCTTCCACCTTTTTATTTTATTTCCCTGTAATAGGAGACAGAAATTAGGAATAAAAAACCTGAACCAAACCCACTGCCGTCGAGTCGATTCTGATTCATAGTGAACCTACAGGACAGAGTACAACTGCCCCCCCCCCATACAGTTTCCAAGGAGCCGCTAGTAGATTTGAACTGCTGACCTTTTGGTTGGCAGTTTTCTTAAATTATAGTAAAGTCAAGTGGGAAAACCTTTGGACTTTGGAATCATGAATATAAATCATACTTGTCCATGCTAGCTGTGTATATATAACTTTAGGCAAGTTATTCCATATCACTGAGCTTCATTTTTTCCCTAACTTGTAAAACCAGTTGGTAATACTTACCTTCCTATGTAATTACCATGATTCAGTAAAATAAAATGTAAAAGCACCCAGCATGGTTGGTGGCACACAGTAGATACTCAGTAAATGTTATTTCCTCCTACCTAGCTATTTGGAGGAGCCCTGGTGGTGCAGTGGTTAAAGTGCTTGGCTGCTAATCCAAAAGATAGGAGATTCTAACCCACCCAGAGGCTCTTCCGGAGATTCTAACCCACCCAGAGGCTCTTCGGGAGAAAGCACCTGGCAGTCTGCTCCAGTAGAGGTTGTTGTTGTTGTTAGGTACTATCGACTTGGTTCTGACTCATAGTGACCATATGTACAACAGAATAAAACACTGCCCAGTCCTGCACCATCCTCACGATCCTTGCTGTGCTTGAGCCCATTGTTGCAGCCAGTGTCAGTCCATCTCTTTGAGGGTCTTCCTCTTTTTCACAGACCCTCTACTTTACCAAGCATAATGTCTTTCTCTAGGGACTGGTCCCTCCTGATGACATGTCCAAGGATGCTCGCTTCTAAGGAGCATTCTGGCTGTACTTCTTCCAAGACAGATTTGTACATTCTTCTTGCAGTCCATGGTATATTCAGTGTTCTTCGCCAACAACATAACTCAAAGGCATCAATTCTTCAGTCTTCCTTATTCATTGTCCAGCTTTCACGTGCATATCAGGCAATTGAGAAATACCTTAGTCCTCAAAGTAACATCATTGCTTTTTAACACTTAAAGAGGTCTTTTGCAGCAAATTTGCCCACTGCAGTACATCATTTGATTTCTTGACTGCCGCTTCCATGGGCATTGATTGTGGATCCAAGTAAAATGAAATCCTTGGCAACTTCAGTCTTTTCTCCGTTTATCATGATGTCGCTTATTGGTCCAGTTGTGAGGATTTTTGTTTTCTTTATGTTGAAGTGTAATCCATACTGAAGGCTATAGTCTTTGATCTTCATAAGAGCTTCAAGTCCTTTTCACTTTCAGTAAGCAAAGATGTGTCATCTGCATATTGCAGGTTGTTAACGAGTCTTCCTCTAATACTGATGCCGTGTTGTTCTTCATATATTCTACCTTCTCGGATTATTTGCCTAGCATACAGATTGAATAAGTATGGTGAAAGGATACAACCCTGATGTACACCTTTCCTGACTTTAAACCACACAGTATCCCCTTGTTCTGTTCAAACAGCTGCCACCACTCTTCTGTCAGTTTGTCGTACTGTGGTGGCTTGCATGTTGCTGTGATGCTGGAAGCTGTGCCACTGGTATTTCACATACCAGCAGGGTCACCCGTGGTGGACAGGTTTCAGCAGAGCTTCCAGACTAAGACAGACTAGAAAGAAGAACCAGGCAGTCTACTTCTGAAAAAACTGGCCAGTGAAAACCTTAGGAATAGCAGTGGAACGTATAGTGCCTGAAGATGGAGCTCCTCAGTTTGGAAGGCACTCAAAATACTCGAAATACGACACGGGAAGAGTCCTCAAAGTAGAGTCAACCTTAATGACATGGATGGAGTCGAGCTTTTGGGACCTTCATTTGCTGATGTGGCATGACTTAAAATGAGAAGAAACAGCTGCAAACATCTATTAATAATTGGAACATGGACTGTATGAAGTATGAATCTAGGAAAATTGGAAGTCATCAAAAATGAAATGGAACGCATAAAGATCAATATCCTAGGCATTAGTGAGCTGAAATGGACTGGTATTGGCCATTTTGAATTGGACAATCAGTAAAGATTACAGCCTAGGAAACCCTGTGGAGCAGTTCTACTCTGTCATATAGGGTCGTTATGAGTCGAAATTTACTTGATGGCACACAACAACATGCTATTTGGATGTATGCATCACCCAGTGGTCAGTTTGAGACTGGAACAGTGGTCTGTCTGTTAGTTTAGTTCTTAAACTCTTTTGTATACTAATTAAGATCAGATCTCACCTCTGCAGCTCCAGGGTGAGCTCAGGAGTTCATAAACAACTGTATGGGGTCGCTTTCCTCAGTACTTTCTGGTTCCGTGGAGCTCCCGCTTCTGATCCACTAGCCAGAAACCTGAGGCTATGCTTATTTTGCCCTGCCATGCGTTCCACAATTTCACTTGCATCCTGAGCCAAATGGTAGGAGATATAGAGGAAGAGGGGGGAAAAGCAAAAGGGGGGTTGATCTAACTCTCCTGGAACTGCAGCTCCACAGAACAGGAAGGTTCCCTTCCTTTACAGCTGTGACTCTTGCAGGTTTCCATTGTGGCCACCACCACCATCACCACAAGATTTCTGGGGTGGCTGGGGTGTGAGAGAACCAAAAAAAAGAAAGGAAAATAAAGGTGGTGGGAGTGGAGCATCCCATACTGTCTGAACCTTAGGAGTTTGCTTTCCTGGCCCTCAAGCCAGAGCTAGAGGGCCCTTCCGGGAATTCCTTCTGTGCTCAGTTCTGATTTCTTGCTGTGTTGAGTTCAGGCTGGGAGATACTAAAGAGGGACGGGTTGGGGGGGAAGTAAACTCTATTGTTTCAGAGGTACTTTGAATTCTGGTTTCTTCCCTGAGTTACCTTCTGCTGTTTACATTTCAAAAGACTTCAGATAACTCCTCCATACAGACTATCCAGGTTTTATAGTTTTATTCAGTGGGAGGGGCAGGGTGGAGTGTATCTATTCCATCTTACCCAAAGCCAGAATCCTAAATTTGCTTTTAAAAGAGAGTGCTTGTAATATGGCACTCTCTGCCACAATCCCTTCTGCTTTTCTAACCTAGGACTAATCACATGCTAAGGTACAATTTGAATCATATTACTGCCTTGCAAGATGATTTTTTTATTGGTTCTCCATTGCCTCTAGGATTAAGTGCCAACTCTTTATTTAATTCAGCATTCAAATTCCCAGCTACATAGACCTCTATACCAGCCGGTTAGGAACACTTACCAAACCAAAAAACAAATCCATTGCTGTTGAGTTGATTCCAACTCATAGTTATCCTATCTCACACCCATAGCTTTGTTTATGTAATTCTCTCTCCCTAAAATAGTTCACAACCTTTAAATTTCTGCCTGTTGAAATCTTATATATCTTTTAAAGCTCAGATACACTACCTTCTTAAACTTTTTTAAAATTCTCTGCTCTGCTCAGACGAGCTTCTCACAAAAGGAGTGTGTGATCTCTTCAACCTTTGAATAACTGTCATTTTTATTTGTGCCTTTTTTATGATATATTTATTCTACTTTGTCTTAGAATTACTTTTACGCTTAGAGATATAATAACTGTTTAGCACAGGCTATTATACTATCAGATCCAATAGATTCAGGTAACATTTAGTGCCTACCATGTACTTTTTTACTTCCTCCCTATAGCAACTTTTTGAGACAGTTATCTACATCTCATTCACATGAGAACCCTGAGGGTAAGAAAAGTAATATTAACTCTTCTACAATGGCTATAAGTTCTTGAGTGTAAGAATTGTAATTTTCAATTTTGTACCACCTAATACCTACCGTGGAGCCCTGGTGGCATAGTTGTTAAGATCTTGGCTGCTAACAAAAAAGGTTTCCAGTTCAAATCCACCAGCCACTCCTTGGACACCCTGTGGGGCAGTTCTACTCTGTCCTGCAGGGTTGCTGTGAGTCAGAATTGAGTTGACGGCAACAGGTTTTTTTTGTTTTTAATACCTGCCACAGAGGAGCCCCAGTGGCACAGTTGGTCAAAGCACTCTGCTGCTAACCAAAAGGTCGGCAGTTTAAACCACCAGCTGCTCCAGGGCGAGAAAGATATGGCAGTCTGCTTCTGAAAAGATAACAGCCTTGGAAACCCCATGGGGCAGTTCTACTCCATCCTATAGTGTCCCTATGAGTCAGAATTGACTTGATAGCAATGAGTTTGGTTTGTTTTGTTTTAATAACACGTAGCAACTCAGCAAACATAGCAATAGCCCTGACTTCTTTCTTCTTTCTGCAGTATCTTGGCCATGTAGAAGTTGATGAATCAAGAGGAATGCACATCTGTGAAGATGCCGTAAAAAGATTGAAAGCTGTATGTATTTGATGGTTGCCAGTGTTGATATATATGCTGTCAATATTTTCTTAAAAACGGATTTTGCTCAGTAAATTTTAGTGACCCAGTATCCAGTAAGCACAATGTTTTTCCTAAGGCAAAAGTGTGGGCTCACCAATAAAGAGCATCTCATATGGTACATCCAAAGACATAAATTACAAAAACCAACCTCTTCAATTTAGGTCAGACATTGTCCAAAAAGTACTTACTTTTGATTTAGAACCACACTGAACAAGTGGTATGAAACTTGATAGTAGAATAATATTCTAAAAACAGGATAAAACTGTCCCAGTTAGTGTCTTAATCTGACTGTGATAACTGGATTATAAATTGCTGATTTTAAATCTGCGGTAAGAAACGGCTTTCCAGGGAGAAGTAGAAGGATAGAGTATCTGTGTTAATAGCTGGTGAGGTTTTAGATTTTGGGGGGCACTTCTCATTATTATCTTGACTCCTACTTCCTATGTACATTCACCCCCAGTTTCCTTCTCTACATTCCTCTAACCACCTATTTCTATTGCCTTTTGCACAAACTCCAGCATACTTGAAATGGAGAGGCCTTTTCCAGGATAAATAGTGTTTACTTTGCCTGGTATCCGTAGAACACATCCCAGGCACATGCCTGTGTGCTTAATAAAAGGAGAGAAAGAATTCAGCATTCATAAAGGTTCAGATTAAAATGTTCATTTCATGTTTTAGATAGGCTTAAAGAATGTTCCATAGCCTCTGATAGTCTTCACAACCTTCCTTCTCTCCAATATGTGGCCTTTTCCCTTCTTTGCTGTGAAAGCTTTTAGCATTACTTATGCATGCCCTTGCCCCAAACAACATAAAATACTTGTTGCTTTGGGTTTGCTGGTATGGTGGGCTGCCAGAAGATTGGCTACTAATGACTGCTTTTCCTCAGTTTGCTTAGTAATCGAAACTTTCTGCTTCGCAGTGCATTGTATATGATCTCTTATCTATAATTCCTCAGTGTAAGAGTTAGAAAATTAAGGAAACAACCAACCACAGAGAGGAGAGAGGTGAATTTTATTTGGAACAAATGCCTGAATCTGTCGTAGAAGGTAAAGGAAGAGAAAAGTAATTGATTGTAGGTAATAAAAAACTCCTGACAAAAAAAAAGTCCTGGCCCAGATGTCTTCACTGGAGAATTCTACCAAACATTCAGAGAAGAGCTCACACCAGTACTACTCAAAAACTATTTCAGAACATAGAAAAGGAAAGACTGCTTCCAAATTCATTCTTTGAAGCCAGCATAACCCTGATACCAAAACCAGGCAGAGAAAAATAACTGATTGTAGTCTACAAAGAACTAAAAAATAACACTACACACACATATATACATACATATATACACATACAGTCTACGTCAGGTATTGGTAATTTAAATTCTTAAATCACTGAAGCCCTTCCTACTCTCTGTGTTCTCGAATTCATCATTAAGAGGACTTATATCCATTATATTACGGTACACGAAAGTATAATTTATAGACTTGTCATGTCCACCTGAATATATTACCCAATTATACACAGCCTCAGATATTTTAGTTTTTCATTTTTCTGATAACCAGTTTAAAATAGAATCGCTTTATTAAATGAAAGGTTAAATTTATATTTCTGAGTTTATCTAGAAGAATAATAAACAAGATGAGTTTAGCTAAGAACATTAAAAAATGAGAGTAGTGCAATGACTTGCTCTACAACTCATGAAAGACTATTTTACATTATAATATCAGTGACTAAAAACAACAGACAAATCAGTGAACATACTGGATAGACCTGAAGTAAACCCTGTGTACATATAACAGCTTAATATATGACAAACTAAACATCACAAACAATAGGCATAAATTACTGAGCAAATTACATTGGAAATTTTAGAAAAAAGACAAATCAGATTTTTATTGATCATTAGGTTTCTTAAAATAGTGCAAGAAGATATGTAAATATACAAAATCTTTAGTAGAAATGCATTAATTAGTTGCTAAAGGTTTATTAAAATCTCATAACTTACTATTAGAAGGCCTGTGTGGAATGAGACTTTACAAAGTCTTTAAATTCAGAGTATTGCTAAGCGTTCACTCTCTAAATAAGGAAAAACTAGAGATGGTTTAAGTTTGCCCAGAAGATACAAAGAAATGATATTTAGTTGTTTAACACAACAGTTAATCTTCTTAACTGTCTCGTTTTTTAATTTTACCTACTTAGAAACATCTCATTATTATATAGGTAATATATATTCATTGTATAAAATACAAATAAAAAAAAAAGTACACAAATAAAACAAAATCTCATGTAATCCGAGAAATAAACCACTCTTAAAACTGTTCAGTTTTAGAACATTTTCTGGTTAAGTAGATTTTTTGTTTTATTTTACCTTTTTATTTTTTTAAACCAAGAAGATGGCAAATTATAAGCACAGTTATTTGAGGCCACAGGACCATTCAAATAGTAAAATTCCACTGAGTTTTTATTTTCACCAGAAATAGGAACCAAATGGCCATTAAAAAAAATATACCTATGCCTGGAACAGTGTCTGGCACATAGTAGTCACTCAATATACAGAAAACAGTCTAGTCCTTCTCAGTATGTAGTCAAGTTGAATCTCATAATAATCATCATAACCACATCTTAATAATTTTAAAGTTTATGCATATCTCTAAAGGCCCTCATTTCTCTGTGGCCTTTTATAACTAAAAGGCAATTTTATATATGTTGATGATTGCTTTTCTGGACATACTTAAACTTTGGAACTTTGAGGGAAATTGACTATTTCTAGACTTTTCGTTCAAAAAGTTATTTAAAAGTTTTCATATATAGAACAGACAAACCCTATCCAGGAGACGTGGAGTAAATGTTACATATAATTTAGTATGGCAAACATCTGTTTTTTAAAATGAGATTGAATTATTGGATAACTGGGGTCAATTTCCTGATTATTATACTCGATGAACTCCCTCCCCCTTCTATAAATACTCTTTCGAATGCTATACTAGGAAGCTTGCAGAAAGTTGGAAGTCTTCAGGGTATTCTTCTCAGATCATATTAGTCTACAAAAATTCATGAATTTTGTCTTTCATATTTTTACTACATAGAAATTTCTAGTCCTTTTTTTTGCTGACCAAAGATTCATCTAACAAACATCCACTACTTTTTTTTTTTTTAAAGGCCCTGTTATCTCTTTACCTAGTTCCTGATTAGGTGTGTTATATTGTTATCTTAACATTTAAGGCCTAGCATTTTCAGTAATAACTTTGATCCAAAACCTCTGTCTAAATAAAATAAGAGACTGGGAACCTACCACCTGCTGTGTCAGATGCTTATATTGTGCCAAATGCTATGTCTCTGAGGTTTTTTTGTGTTTGTAATGATCACAAATTTTCCAATAAATAGAAGCAAGTGTAGGGATACACAAGCCTACACAGGTTTAAAGAAGAAATAGCACAAGCCTTTGAAACTAGTTTGAATGCTAATGTTTAAAAATTTAAAGAATTATATAGCTCAGATGTACCAGTACAGTACCAAAACAGATATCTTAAAGTTATCACTTGAATGATGTTTGAACTAAAAATGTAGCATTCTAGTGCTTTTTAATTTGTGTGGAATTGATAAAGCAGAATAATTTGCAAATGTTAGGCGTTGTTTTCCTCCTAAGAAGTCCCTTATAATTTAGAATTACTTTAACTTCAATTGGACATTATCTACATACTTGGAGATTATTTGCCATTCTCAAATGAAAAAAATATCAGAACTAAACAAAACAGTAGTGTTTTGAAAATATATACTTCAGAACATAAATACGTTTTTAAAATTTTTATTTACCTTCTATGCATAAAGTTTAAACGCATTTACTTTGTGATATAACTTCACTGATTAACTGCTTTGACACTTGGATTGTATAGAAAAAGATGGCAAAAATGGTCATCCATTTTTAGTGCCTTTGTGGCATAGTCAGTTGCAGGGTAAGGGCTAATGTCCTTTTTTGTAAAAGTGTGTCAGGCCTCTGGTTATCTTGTTGACTCTTGTCCAAGATGCCCTTCATTTTAAAAGGTCTTTTCTTCCCATTGTCTCTTAAATGTCTCGCCCTCTCTGTCTTGGTTTTAGAGTAGTTTCATTATACTATCAGTTTTTAATGTTTTTTTTACCACGATTTGATATATTTGTTTTAATATATGTTCTTGTTTTAGCAGGTAAAAGAATCATAACTTAGTTGTTTTTAAAAAGAACTTTAATATCATTCTCTAATCTATTAACTGCCTTTTTATGCATCTTGCACGTAAACTTTTTCATTAACATCCGGAATCTTTTATAAAAAGAGGGAAAACTCCGTGTGTAACAAGAGCTTTTCACAGAGCTAAATTAAATATTAACTGAATCTCCTGATGTCACCTCCCCACCCCTCAGGAATGGTGAATATCTTAACTTTGGCTGCATTCTTGAAAGTTGATTGTTACTTAACTGTCTAACAAAACTAGGTCACCAAACTTGGCAACAGAAATAATCTTAGTTTTATTGTGATAACCGTCCCGGATTACTTTATTATTTTTCTAGATTAAGTTCAGAATATTCTGTGGATATATTTGATGCTGCTTGTGATTTCCAAAATTTAGGGAAAAACAAACTTGGCAGTATTTGAAAGCATTGGATGAGTTTCTCAGTTATCTGAGGCAAATTTTAGTACAGATATGTCTTTTTCTAGAGATTTATCCAACGTTAAAAACTGATGATTATAAAGAGTAAAGGCTTAAAGTATAGTTAAACCAAGGGTAGGAAATGTAAAGTTAAGCTAGCTTTGGTTAGTTAAAACCCATTCACTTTGCATAAGCTCTTCAAATTTTAAATGATGGCCAGTTTTCATTTTTTATATGATTAAAATTTGGTGCTGGGACCATAGATAACTATGTTTCTCTTATTTATATAGTATATATATAAAACATATTCTTACAAATGTCAGTGCTAGTTTCTTTACTTTAAAACAACAGTATTTAAAAGGGAAACAAAAGCCTATTCCTTAAATTTCAGTTGAGGGCCACAGACATGGTTCTTTCTCAGATATATCTGTTTTCCTAGCTGCATTGTAAACATTAACTCTCTGTTCTTTATAGATAATTTATTTTGTGTCCAGAATAGAACATATTTGTTATTTACCCGTGTATGCTGTGGAATAAATTAGCTATTTTTGATGTACACAGACACACACGTAAATTGATCTAATATGTGTAAATGAAAGTCAGTGGTCAAGCTCCCCTTAACTAGTACGGAGTTTTCTAGAAGTGATATCTTGAATTCAGTGATATCTTGAATTCAGTAAGTACATACTCTTCATTAAAAGTTGTGTGTTGCTTTTTTTTTAATGTGATTGTGTGGTCAGTCTGAATGTGGGCGGGCTTTTTAAGTGATGATTTCCACAAGAGTTGACCACTGATTTTAAATTGAAATTTTCCATTTAACTACTATTTATTACTCACAGTTGTCAAATTTAAAATGTAAATCTCACCAAACCAGAACGTCCTAATCTTTTTCTCTGCTGCCAAATTTGGATAATCGCTGTTTTGAAAAGTAAATAGAGAAACTAACTAGTTGCTCTGCATGGATATAGGTTCTGATTTCTTCTGTCTGTTTCCATGCATTCTTAGGCCATACAGTGTGTTTCCCTGCATTTTCATGCACCTTTGCTTTTTCCTCTGTCACACCTGGTATGGATAACTTTTTAAAACTCTCATTCCTTCCCCTTTTCCCACTTTGCCCCTTCCCCAAATTCTGTATGTGCTTATTGGTGTGAAACCCTGAGACATTTAGCCCAAACAATAATAGTGCTCGACTTGTCCCCCTGTTCCTCCAGGAAAGGAAGTTCTTCAAAGGCTTCTTTGGAAAAGTAAGTTTGATGCCACATTTGTGCTTGCTTTATAAGGAGTTACACCCCTAGTATAGCACTGACATATTAAAAAACAAAAACAAAAGAAGTACAGCTTTGATTTCTTTATAATACAGGAACTGATTTAACTGTATATGGAAATTAATTAATAGAAACGTTACCATCTGTAATGTTAGCTGTGTGTCTGTGATTCTAAAGCTGGTTGAAGATTCCCAGGAAAGTCCAGTAAATGAATCAAGTAGGTTAAAAGAGATTTATCTCCTCAGGACTAGGTGTTAAAATAATTTTCATTTGGTTTTGCAAAACTCTGTGAGTGAATTTTTAACAAGTGGATTTTACTTAGTGTCTAATTTTGACAGAAATGGGAAGAAATACTAAATTCAAGTGAAAATTAAATTTATACCAAACTTGTATGTTCAATGCTATTACTTTTTTTAATCTAAGTTAAATTTCAGGTGAGGTAAGTGAAAGTACATAAACTTACCTTTGAAGATCCTGCTATGATTTTTAACCTGGATTGCTAATCTAAGAAAAACTATGTTAATTATTAGTCTGCCGAATATTTGTCATATGTATAATGTTCTTTATGTAGGTGCTTTTCAAGTAATGACTGTTTAATGTTCAGATCTCCACAAATAGGTAAACACATTTCTTACATTTTTTTTGTTCAAGTATATCGTCATTTAGTTTTGAGGAACGGCTACGAAGTAATTTAGACTGACCGTGTAAGAAAAAACTATCATTGGATAACAGAGTGTAAATTACTAGAAGTTTATGTGATTATAAAATTTGCAATTCTCTAGTGAGTGGTTTTATTATTTTGGAAATTTATTTTGAAGACTTAGTTTCCATTTCCTTCTCAGTTAAACATTTTAGATGTAACCCATTAGTACATTTTCTTGTTCTTGGTTAGGTCACTTTTATACTAATGTAAATCCTTTTTGAAGGACTTGAATGTTTAATTCAAATGGTTGCTATCAATCTGAAATAAAAATTCAAATAATTTACCGACACATGTGAAAATAAAAATTTTAGTAGACATTTTGGGTCAAAGTCAAATTAACAGATCCTTAGAACTTGGGACCCATATCTAGAAAGAATTAATCTTACGGACATTTACATCATTATAATTAGACACTATAAGTGTTAAAGAAACTTACAATTGTTAAGGAAGCCTTTTATGGAGTATTTATTTTTTCCCAAATGGAATTTCTCAAAACAACGTCACATCACCACAATATTTATACGATTTTAATTATCTTTCAAGTAACCAGATTTTAATATGTCTACTTTTGTTAAAACAACCTTGTCTGTGCAACCTCAGTTATAGAAAATATTCATTTGGTTTATAGAAAAAATATGTTAAAGTATAAAGAAAAAGTTGTAACAGTGTTAGGGAACAAAGATAGCTCTTGCTTCAAAATCATTCCTGAGGTGGACATGTTCATTGTTATATATAGGCGTCATGGTGGACCTACAGTATAGCCGAACTGGATCACACTGTGCTTCTTAGCTGTTTTTACTGCATTTTGCTACATCGTGAATTTATATGGCATGAGAAGGAAAATCATGGATCACTTCACTTAATTCTTACACTAACCGTCAAATTATTGTTATTTGTTTTGCAATGAGGAAACTGATGTTTACAGAGGTTAAATTACCTGCCCAAATTCAGAAGCTAGGATTTGAATCTAAATATTCTGATTCCAGAGCCCACACTGTTAATCACTATACTGTACATGTCACTTCTATTTACAAATGAAGTTTAAAAGATTTAAAAGGTGCTAGTAAATAAGCAGTTTCCTTGAAACTCATTTTTACTTTCTTTCTTTTAAAAAGCAGTCATTTAACTTTGGATTTTATTTATAGTCAGTTTACTTTTTTATTAAAGATTTAAAGGTTCATCTTTTTTCACTGATTCAAACTATTACTCAGTTTATTTGGAGATACTTAAATCCTACTACTGAGCTGGACTCCCACAGGATTTCCTTAAAAGATGTTAAGTGATCCCATAATGGCATCTGTGAACCAGCGTGACTATGAGAATTCTTAGGCCATTGGAAAAAGTCTTTTTATGGCAGGGAAATTTTATTCTAATATACAATTGTTTAAATTAAAGTAAGTCATTTACAGTGTTTGAAAACAGAGGGGGAAAAGCATTATACCAGAAATGTACTTTGAAAGGAAAAACTTTAATTTGGAGCTTTTGAAATGTTTCAAGTTACTGTTGTTCAGCTCACTTCCACATTAATCTTAAAGAAACAGGTGAAAAAGATTTGTTCAGTATGCTAGTAGGTTAGTTGTGGTTTGATGAAGGCTAAAAATGAAGACTCTCTTAGGGCGTTTTTATCCAGTACAGTTCCTCTTAAATTTTGGTAACTTTCTTAGGCCTCGCATCATGTATGGTTTATTGGTCCAGAATAAAGAGAAAAACAGTTATCAAAAGGCATTTCCACCAAACACTTTTGCATAAAAGTAGGTAGATGGAAGAATTGTTAGCCATGATTCTGAATATGAATATGAAACATGCCCAGGAGGACTGTTTCCTCTTTTCCCTAAGCTGCCTACTGGTCCTGTCCACTCCATAGCTTCTTTATTCCCTGCATCACCAACTGATGGGAGCAGTGCTTCCGGAAGCTTTAGCAGTACGGAATGGATAAACCTGGGTATGTAGCAGGTTTTATTAATCCATTGTAGACTTAACAACATTTTAAAAAAGAAAGGGAAAAATCTGAGGACCTGGAATAACTTTTTCCAAACTAACTACATTGAATTGCTCACTACCTTAGGAGAGCCAAGAATGCGCTCAACTTTTTTTATAGATTATTATATGCAGCTTCATTAGTGAATTTGGCCATGCTAGGCAAATACTTTATTACCGAGTAATTACGTGGCACTTAACATTTAAAAAGGATTTTATAATTTTAATGTATTTGAGGAACCCCATGAGCTAAGTAATCTACATTCCCACTTTGTGAAGTAACTGACTCAACATGGAGATATAAAATGTTCTTAGGCTACACTATTACATCTCTTTTTAAAGCCATTTACTTGTATTTATGTATAGCTTCATAGTTTACGATGTGCTTTGACCTACTTTCTAATTTGCTACTCATAACAGCTCAGTGAATTTGGATAGTTCATGAAACTTAATTTTACAGTTGAATAAGCTGAAGTGCAAAGAGGTCACCCAGCTGTAAATGGCAGAGCCTAAAATGAAACCAAAGTTTTCTGAAACTTGGTGTGAAGGTCTTTCACTTACTCCATGTTGCTGTTTTCTCATTCAAAAATGCTGACCTCTGCTTTCCTCAGGTATCCCTTAATTATAATGAATGGAGGTGTCTAATGCAGAGGATACTAGACAATTCAAGGGCCTGAAGGTTGCCCACAAACATGCGTTGTACAGCCTGCACAGAGTTTACAAATTTGAATTAGTTGCCAATATATTAAAAATTGAGAGCTTTCACATAAAAACTAGGATATCTATCTTTTGAGAATTAGAAGATCTGGTAAAATGACTTTCTATGTGGCATCAGTGGCTTGAGCTGAGTAGCAACTGTCCCTTTTGGTTGTCTGTTCAGCACGATCTCTGCTACTCCTGTTGTCCCTTACACTGAGCTGGCTTCACTCATTTTGTTATCTGCCTTAACCCTATAGGCATTTGAGTTTGTGACCTCCCTGAGCTGTTGTATCACTTTGGTTCTTTTGTCATTGGTCTAACCATTTCTAACTGAATAAAAAATCACCAAAGTATTTCAGTGTCTGTTCTAGTAGATCCTGTTAAAGTACTGCCAAACATATTTTTTCAAAATTTTATGATTTTACAATTGTTACTTAAATGGCACCATTAGAAATGGTTGTTTTAGAAAATACGTTGGTTGAAAAGTAATGCATGGTTCTGTTGTTTTCACCTAATTCTCGAGAGTTAAAACATTTCGTGATATTTATGACTCCACTCTTAAATCTGTATACCCACATTTACATTCTATTTTAGATTTCCCAGATTTTCTTCTCTATGACAAATCATACCTAGTGCTTATCTTCAGTCTGGATCCTTTTCTTTAAAAGTAGGGAGTGTCTGCTGTCTCTTCCTTTTTCCTCCTCCTTGCTTTTTAAATTCCCATGTCCTTTTTTGTGTAAATTTTACCTTCTCTTGTATTTTACTGGATGCATCTTTCAAGATTTGGGTGTTTTCTTCGTTCTGAAATGCGAAAAAACAAATTCCTGAAAAAAGACAATTCTAAGAGTAATCAGAAGATTTACATTCATCCTTGGTTTCATTATTTCCTGTGACATGGTCAACTGGTATGTTAAATGCGTTGGTCACTGACCTTTTCTAGACAGATTTAAAAAAAAAAAAACTCCTTCAGAGTTACCTTTTTTTGTTTGTATTCATGCAAACCCAAACCAAAAAACCTATTGCCATCGAATCAATTCCGACTGATAGTGAACCTGTAGAACAGAGTAGAGCTGCGCCATAGGCTTTCCAGGGCTGTAAATCTTTACGGAAGCAGAGTGACACATCTTTCTCTTATAGAGCAGCTGGTGGGTTTGAACTGCTGACCTTTCTGTTAGCAGCCAAGTACTTTACCACTGCACCACCAGGGATCCTTCATGAAAACCCAGTGGTTCTCAAACCTGACCTAGGAAAATACTTAAATGATTTGATTAACATTGCTTTAGACATCCAGAAGGAAAGAGTTTTTATTTCATATGTTGCTGACAAAAATTACACAAAAAGCATGTATGGATAGTGGTAGTGGACTTTTGTCTATACCAATCCAGAGGATATATCAGAAGATTAGTGGTTGGGCTTTTTTCTTTGAATAGGTAACTATATATCACAAACCATCAAAGCAGAAATTTTTCATTCATTCAACAAGTCAGTGTCTAGGACATGCTAGAGGCTGTGTTAGGCTATCCAGATACAAAGATGAACAGGTCAATCTACATTTTTTTTAGCCCATTTACACTCACGTTTTTAGACAGCTATTTTATGC